ATTCTTTTATTTCCTTAAAGTCTTTGCCCCTTAAAACTTTGTTTAGGGGTTTGTCATTGTGGAAATTTGCCTAGTTTGTTAGAAGATTAGATTGTAAATTGTTCCATTAGATTGCAAGCTCTTTGAGAGCAGGAGCTGTCTCTTTTTCTTATTTGCATCCTAAGTGCTTAATATGGTGGTTGGCACATAGTAGGTGCTTAATAAATGTTTATTGAATTGAATTGAAAGAAAGAAAAATTATTTCACCTGTTAGTAATTTAAAGAAAGATTAGGGGAATTGAGAGAGGCCCAGCCTCCTAGGAAGGAAGTCCTGAGTTCAAGTCTTGCCTGTGACATATATTGGCAATATCACCCTGGACAAGTCACTTTATCAGGGCTGCAGACAATTCTTCAAAACCAGAAATTGTGGAACAACTGCAGATCTGCATTGGGAAAAGGAGATTCCCCACCAGGAGTTCCCTGAACCTTGTGAAATCATAGGTACTGATTCCACTCTCTCTTTCTACAAAAATGGAAATGGGCCTTCATCCAGCCCACACAGTCATTGTTGTTTCTAAAAATATAATTAAAATAATACAAATAAATACAAATATAATTTTAAAATAAAATATTTCCAAATGCTGCCAAAACTTGTCCGTTTGGTTTTTTTAAATTTGCTTTGTTCTGAAAATTTTCCTCTTACTGATCAAAACAACACAAAAACAATTCAATGGAATAGAATAGCTTTTGACCATGACCATTTGCATGAAGCAGCTTAGAAAGCAAGAAAAGTGAGGGGTACTTGTTTGGGGGAAAATATTAGGTTATATTTGGCTATAAAAAAATTACTTTAGAAAAAATTACCTTTCCTTAGTATTCTCTAATGATGGTTCAAAATGCTCTCATTCCATCATGATGCTCTGCTGTGTTTTGTTTTTTTTTTTAACTTTTCTATTACTAATCAAAATAATATGAAAATAATGCATGGTAACAATAACTTTTGACCATTCCCATGGGCAAGAAGCAGCCATTATTTTAAATAAGTATAGTAAGAAAATATCTTTTTTCCCCCAAATTTCTTTCTCATATGTTTGAAACTCCCAGTGACTTGTAAGAGTCTTGTGTGTGTGTATACATTATACACATATATACATATATATAAAACATATATATATACACACACACACATAAACACGTATACACATATATACACACAAATACACATATATTTGTGGGAAACAGATGCCTAAGTGTGTTATTACTGCTTTCCTGTTATCTTTTTTATCCCTTCAGTATTTATCTGGGTATATTATTTCTACTTGTAGCCTGCTAGACATGGAGGATCATTTAACCCTCTTCCGTTACTTCATATATGGCTAGCTTTATATTCAGCAGGGTTGTGTTCCATGTTGTAGATAAAGATAAAGATTTATTGGATCACAGATTTAAAGTTGAAAGGCATCTCAAAGGCCACCTAATTTAACCCCCTTATTTTACAGATGAGTCAGGTGAGGCCCAGAGTTCATCTGATTAGCCCAAGGTAGTAAACGATCAAACATTTGAACACAAGTCGGATGATTCCAAGTTCAGAGCTTTCCACAACCAAAAAACAGAAATTTAAGTACAAATCTTATGACTTGTACCCCAGAATTTAATTAGAAGCAGTATAATCTCCTTAGTTTTAGGGACCTTCTCAGGAACTGGTTTTAAAATGAATTTCCATCCTGTTTAGTCAAGCTCAAATGAATAGAATAATAGTTTACTGACTTAAACAAGAAAATAAGGTGGAGATAAGCGACAACTGAGATCTGAAGAGAAGAACAAAATGATTAAAAAGTGGGTAGAGCTTTGGAGTAAAAACACACAAATCAGCGGGGAAACTCCAGGGAATGAGAGAGGAGGGTGTAAAAAAGGGGTAGAAGGAATTAGGAACAGCTGAGAGCAAAAGAGAGCTAAGCGGTGGAAAGTTTTAAAAACAATAAACGATAAAGAAACAAAAACAATGTCTACAGGTGACAACACGTATGGATATGTTACATAGACTTGGGTAAATAAAAGTGCTAGAAGTTATCAAAGTTAATGGTAATGGGAAGAAAAAGATTTAGCAGTCAGAATATTAAAGTGGCGTATGCTGAAATGCTCTTATGCTGCATTAATTAAATAATTTGTTATATATAATAATATATTATTTATATAAGGTTAGGCTAATTAATTGAATAACAAATTAAATTAATGAAAAAGAAAGCTTGGCATTAAAGTCTAAGAGAAAGGAGGATGAAGCTAGAATGGAAAAAAGGTCACACAAAAAACATCAGTACCACATTTTAGGGGCAGGACATAGAACTAGAGTCTGAGACACAAATTTTTTAAAAAGTGAAGAAAGTAGCGTGAAGACTAAAAGAGAAAGCAAGGGAAAAGTTAAAGATCTATATCAGCACTTGCTGCTAAGGACTAAGAAAGAATCCTACATGGCTGAAAGCTACCACTGACCAACAGATCAACAAGCATTTATTAAGCACCTACTAGGTGCCAGGGCAAGTTTCATAATGGGCAAGAAGGGGAACAAATAAAAGAACAGCCACAGAAAACGTAAGCACCCCTTTGCAGAGGTGGAAGGCCCTTAGGTATGGTACACTGCACATATTTCAGACTTTTCAATGTATTGACCAATTCTGAACAAAGCCTTCTCTGGGAGGAGGGAAATTTGAAAAGAAAAGAAAATATGATCAATATACAGCAGCTATTCCAGAGAACTGTCAGAAGGAAAGAGGGGAAACTTAGGGGTACTAAAGTAGGAAGGAGGTTTTTGGAGCCAAAATTAGAAGGACTGAAATCAGGAAAGCCTGTGGCCTGGGCTGGGAAGGGATGGAATATTATTAACAAGTGTAAATAAGAAGAGATTGACAACTTAAAGCCTTTGATTTCTTTACCCTTGGAATATATCCTTGATATATCTCCACCTCCACACTAGTCCTTAATTCTTTCTCCTATCCTAAACCCCACCAGCAACAACTGTCCTTAAGGAACCACCCACATCTCCTATTCTTCTTCAACCACCCCCATGCCCCCAAAAGTGGAGGCTTAATGGATAGTTTATCCAAACTGTAATGGTTTCTCCCAGGGGCCAATATTATGAGATATTAGATTGGAGCCAAAAGTTGAACACAGACTGGTTTTCAGTGTGGACTATTAACAAATAGGTGTCAGTCATTAAAAGGACCATGCCAATTCTATAATTAAATCATGATACTGTATAATACAGAAGGTTGCAGCGTCTGGATAGGGACAGCTGTGAAGTCCTGTGCTCTTTATTAATATACTTGGCATGCACAGTATGTGCATCTCTAACTATTAGTGATCTCAAACATCATACTTCCCATATTTTGTGACATTGGATATTTCATACTGGGGGAAAACACCTTAAAAAGTGCTTCGTTAGATGCTTCTAGAAATACATTTCTAGATCAACAGAAAGTGAAAAAGCTGATAATTCAAAGCAACTCCTTTCTCCACTATTTCTCAAAGAACCATATAATTGAGTTTAATGTTAGAGACTCTTATCTGTAGTTCTGTTTCTCAGCAGATCACTAGATGCTCCCAAGGCTGCCAAGCTCAGCCACATGGACCTTTTACTGGACTTTTAAAGTACTGCCCAAGTATGGACTGATGCCTTAGACTGGGGTTCTTAAAATGAAACATAAAGAGGTTAAGTGACTTGCCCAAGGTCACAAATGTTGTAAATGGAAGAGCTAAAATTTGAGCCCTGGACTGCTGATTCCAAACCCAGTATTCTTTACACTACCTTAGAACTGAAGGAAAAATTATTATAAACCCAAAAGTCAGGTGTGGTGAGTTTAGATTAATCACACATATCAATTCTAACCCATCTCCTCTTGCTCAAGCAACCAAGAATGTCAATTTCAAACAGAAATTATTTTTTATCATACAAGAAAACCTGAAAAGACCACACTACCCTTTGAATTTTAAAAGCCATCAATACATTAAATATAATTCCCACCTAGAGAAAAGACATCGTGAATGGGTTGCTTGTGTTTTTACCTAATGGTAAACCTTCTTAGTTACTTGGCCTCTTTTAAATATTTTAGCATGACTAGCCTAGGTAGTATTTGCTTCAAAACTGAACAAGGATCATTTATCATAGTAAGATGTTTATGAAACATTGCTCTCTTGAGTCTTGTACAAAAGGTTATCTTAAGTTTATCCTTCACCAGAGATACATCATGCCAAATAGGGACCTTGTAAAATTAAGAGTGTCTCTTACTCTTTATTAAATCATATATAGCTCTACCAATTAATTAATTGTATCTTAAAACATAAAGTGTGAATTAGTCATTTGGTCTTTTCAAAGATGGCAAATTTCCCACTTAATAATACATAACTGTAATTCTTGCACGTTGCTGGTAGTGTTACAGTTTTGGTACCGAGAAAGGACAATAAAATGTAATTCCCAGTTCCCATTCACGCTTCTCTGGCCAATGCTCTGAAAATGGCTCCGGGGTTTATTATGAAAAGTTAGGCAGAGAGGCCCACAAGTCCCATTCAGGCTGGGGTCTGATTTTTCCTGAAGGCGAAGTGCCACTAAGCATTGCAGTGCTAAGCAACTCCAGAGGAAATCACGACTCTAGACCTCCTTTTACAAGTCAAATGAGGGAGAAACATTCTGTGAATGAACAGCAAACAAGAGCTCCTTGAAACAAGAGCAGGCTTCTTTTTCTTTTTCTTTTTCTTTTTTTTAAGGAAAGTATGAATGGGTGATTCAAGCAAAAAAGCATTTGGTTTGGCAAACTAAAAACTCCAAGAAAGCCCAGTTTTGTTCAATGAATGTCAGATTTCATGTGTGTTTTCTATCTCCCGCTCGCCGCCCCCAGTTCTGTCTTCCTAACCATTCTGGAGAAAGGCTTTATGAAAGACTTTTGTTTGTCCTTTTTTAAGACTAAAATATGCCACTTTTACTACTCAGGGATTTCGTTTTTACAAAACAAAGGGCAGCGCAGACTTACCTTTAACAGATGCAGAGTAGGAGGAGATGAAGCAAAGGAAAAGGACAGCCAGAAGAATCATCCTTGACTCGGGTCGGGTCCAGTCCACAGCAGCGCATGGAGCTCGGGGCAGGCCGGCCTGCACCCACCAGGAGGCTGCTCTGATTGCAGCGGAGCAGGAGAAAAACCTCAGCACCTGTGACAATCAGGTTTATCTGCAGGCAAAGGGCAGATTCCAAATTCCATCCTCAGGGCCTAAGTTCAATAAAGCACTTTCCATTAATCATTAAGCTCAGGGGTTTACAGATTTTACCCCCTTTTTACTGTTTCACTTCTTTCACCTTTCATTTTGGGAAATCAGGCCAGAGCAGCCTTGCTCTCGAGCAGGGATCCTTCACTTTTTTGGTCTCCCAGACTCCTTTGGAAGCCCATGGTCCCCTTTCAGAATTATATACTGAAGTGAATAAAATAACATAGTATTACAAAGTCAGTCGGTCAGTCAATAAGCTTTTATTAAGCACTTACTATGTGTCAGGCACCTACTAAACACTAGGAATACAAAGAAAGAGGCAAAAGATTGTCCTTTCTCTCAAGGATCTTACATCCTAATGGGGGAGACAATAGGCAAATGCCTGAACAACACATATATACACGTATGTGTATATGTATACATAATATATATCCACATATATGTCCACACACATACATATATACACACGTATATATTTGAGATAAATTGGAAATAATAATAAACCCAGGGAAGGCACTATTAGCATTAAGGGGGAGCAATGAAGGCTTCTTATAAAAAGGAGGGATTTCAGCTGAGCCTTGAAGGGAAACAAGAGGCAGAGATGAAGAGGAGAGAGTTCCAGGTGTGGGGACTAGCCAGTGAAAATTCTCACAAACCAATTATATTGAAATACAGTTATCAAAAAAAATATATATATATATATATACAGATATAAATGTATACATATATTTAAAAAGTCATAGATCCCAGTGCCTCCTGAACTCTCTTTCTGGCAGTTAGTGTACACGGGAATACCAACAATGACCATTTGTCCCTAAGGCTGAATGAAGTAAGTTACCTAGGTAACATGCCTAGGGTTTTGGGAATCTCCAGCATGACTTTTACCACCCTAAGCTAGGCCAGGTAGCCTAGCATATGTTTTGCTAAGTCCCAGGGTAGAGCAAAACTATGCACTTCCCTCTCCCTCCTTCTCCTTCCTCCCCCCTCTAATGACCTGTCATTCATCTCTCTTCTACCCATCATTCGATTCTCAGCTTGGATCTCCTCTTGAAGACTTCTTGATCTTTGGGGCCCCATCCCTGTTAGAAGTGAACTATCCCTCTAATGAAATTCCATAGTACTTTGCTGGCATCTCTCTTAGGATCCTTAAATTCTGTTCTTCTATTGATTTAAAATGATTTGCACCCTTGCTTTCCTCTACCATTCCTCTTAGATTTTTCACCTACCTTTATAACCTTTCTAGGATCTTTCACATAGCAAGCGCCCAATAAATGTTTATTAGATGAATAAATGAATGGAGAGAGGACTGACATCAACACAAAGACCCAACCCAAAGCATAGTGCCTGGACCCTGGCCTACTCAGTCATAGGTGACTGAAACTAAAAAAAGTTCTAAGAAAAGACTATTAAAATGTTTTGGTTTAAGTTTCCAATAAGCAAGAGGAACCAAAGGATTACTCAGAGTTCCCTAAGTTAAAAACAGGAGAGAAAAAATGAAAATGTATATAAATATATATATATATATATATGCACATGTGTCTATCTATCGATCTATCTATCAATCTATCTATATTCAGATTTAAAGAGAGATCTTCATTAGCTACTTTTGTCCCTTTTTCCAGAATCTCAGTCTTGAAATGAGAGGGGTCTCCCTATCAATCAGTCACCCCAGACACCATCTTGAGCTCTGACCAGTGGATGCCCAGAATAATCTGGACAAAGGGTGGCATAGAATTATCTCATAGAACAAGAATATGAACATAACCATCTTCACATGGATTATATAAAAGACAATTGTTTGTCTTTAGCACTCCTACTCAGACTAGAAAATTTGCTCTCTAAGTTTTACATACAACTTGTAGAGGTAGATGCCAAGTACAAACAAACCATTGCTGGTCTGATTGCTCTGAAATGTCCTAAGGTCAATGGGGTTAAGTAAAAAGGCCAAACCTTCAAAAATAACGTTCCTATTGAAACACCAGTAATAAAACTTGTTTTCCCCAAGAAACAGCTTGACAGGGGAGAAACAGCTAACCTCGGCACCAGGAAAACCTGAGTTAAAGCGCCATCTTGGACTCTTGGTGGCTATATGACCCTGGGCAAGTCACTTAAGCTCTAACTGCCATGTACAACTCTCTTACAATCAATTGCAGAGAAAGTGTTGACTTGCACTGGTAGAGGGAGCTTCCTCATTTGGGAGAAAACACAGATTCAGACCCTATCCTTTCCCCAAATGACTATGGCCTGCTGGTTGTTAAATTTGACCACATTTTTATGATGAGGTTATTTCAGATTCTTGAATTACTTAACACTAAGCTAGGTACTAGACATTCTAGGGGCATAGGACTTTATAAACTGGTTTCACTTATTGAAAACCCTCAAATCCTTCACTGACTCTCTATCTCAATAGCGCTATAATTTACTTCACGGTTAGAGTATGTGGTATAGAATACGTGTCCCTCTGGTTAAAGTACTCTCACTTGTCATGCATTTTCCAGAGTCCAACAAATAAAGGGCATATCCTTATTGCCTAATCAAACTAATGATGTGTCTTTTGAACATTTGCTCTTCAATAAAAGATTCCCATTAGTCATTCCACTGAATGGAGAGGTGTTTCAAAATGGATATGAGAATCTTCTCAATGGCTATTTTTGATGAAAATAAATGTTGTAGTCACCTATCTTGGATTTACAAAGAGGTTGGGTAAGGTGTTTTTTTTGTTGTTGTTGTTGTTTTTGTTTTTTGCTTTTGTTTTTTGAGTCCACAAGAAAAATCCAATGATAAAATAAGAATAAAAAATTGGGGGCTTCCCTAATCAGACAGTCCAGTGTGCTGTGATCTCAGATGAAGTTAATTAAACTGGTTTAAATATCTAACTCTAAATAAGCCTTCTTGGCCAATAAGCCCCCTTCAGGATTCTTTATAAATGCCTGCATAAATTCCACATCAAAATTTAAGAAAAATGTTCTATATCTGATGAAATCATAGAGACAAATGCTAGCATGGGAGTTTTTTTCTTCTTTCCCCAGTTTAAAAAAAAAAAGTATAAAGTTTTTGCTTGCTTAGCAATATTCCTGTCATAAGGAGTCCTTATAGATCTGGGCTATGTGACAAGGGGGGGCCATTCCATTAGTGAGGTCAAAATCAATCAAAAGGCAAAATAATCTCAAAGCAGAAATTAAGGAGCAGGGGACCAGAGATAGCGTTTTGTCTGCCACTGAATTAAAATGCTAGGAAATACAGAGTGGGGACTGTGAGAAATGAGAATCAGGGATAGCGTGCCAGAAGGGATGATAAATTTAAGAAATGAACAATTAAACATATGCTGCTGCTCTATTGATAGACACAGAATTGGACAGCCTCATGAAAGTACATGGGCCTGGGTAATATACTTCCTGGGAAACTGAACTGGCACATAGTTCAGAAAGGAATAGTGGAAGGCAGTCAGGTCTCATCCAGCTGGCTCTGGCCCATATCCTTAGAGTTATCACTGAAGTGGTACCAATGACCCAGACTTGTGTGAGACATTTATTTCTATGTGAAGTCAAGCACAGCGTTTCTCTATTGAGCAACTCTTGAAGATGGGAGGGGCTGATCACCCCCCCTCGGAAGTGATAGATCACCCAGGCATAGCTTGGCAGAGTGTTTGCCCAATGCCCAGGTGCAATAACCTAGACTTTCATTATCCCCAAACTGCAAGTTAATTTTTTTCAATTACAAAAGGAGCAGTATTTATTTCAAGTTAAACTCACTCCCCAGCTTATCATCCTTTCCAGGAGTTCAGTGTTCCCAGAGAGACACATAATAAATCTTGTACAATGCCGTTATACCTGGGGATATAGGAATCTCCCCAAGTTCACTGGTCCATGCAAGTATGATGTTAAGTGCCCAGAAAAGCATGAAATCAGATCAATCTTCCTTTCACAGTGAAGTTTCTTTTAAAAAAGCTGTCTGTGAATAGTCCTACCACCCCCTTGTTTAATTCCTTGAAATCTGGCTCTTGCCCTTAGCGTTCTACTGAAATTATTCCCTCAAAGGTCACCAAGGAGCTTCTAACAGACAAAAATCCAAAGACATGCTTTCCAGTCCTCATCCTTCTTAACATCTCTGCAGCACCCCCAGTTACTCTGAGCCAGAAACACTGGCCTCCTTGAGGTTCCTTGAATAAGCAATTTCATCTCCTAACTCTGGGCACCTTCACCGGCTGTCTCCCGAACCTGGAACTCCCTTCTTCCTCATCTTTCCCTCTCGGTGTCGTTCGAGTCCCAGCTAAAATCCTACCTTCTACGAGAAACCATCCCCCATCCCCTCAATGGTAGCGCTTTCCCTCCATGGATTGTCTGCATGTTGTCTCTCCCCTTAGACTGGGAACTTCTCGACCATAAGGAGAGTCTTTTGCCTTTCTCTGCCACCCAGTGCTCAGCACTGTGGAGAGTACACGTAGGCATCAAATAAATGCTTGCTGACTGACTGGTGATTAGTCCTTTTCTCCTCTTTTGACTTCTGAAATACCCTACTCGGCTGGTTCTCTACCTGCCTCTACAATTACTCCTCCTCACAGAATGTCAAAGCAGCAAGATCCCTTAGAGATCTACTCAAGCCCCTCATTTTACAGAGAAGGAAACTAAGATTCAGAAAAGGAAAGTAATTTCTCCAAGGTCATCTTTGGAAGAGCTGGGGCATGAACTCAAGTCTTTTGACTCTAAATCCTGGGTTCTTAATCTAGAGTCCATGGATTCCAAGGGTCTGTGGATAGATTTCAGTAGGTCTGTGAGGCTAGATGGGAAAAATTACAAATTTATTTCAATATAGTTGGTTCCCTTTGTAATCTTATGTTGCTGTTGTTGGGCTTTTTTTTTTTTTTTTTAGGCAATTGGCATTAAATGACTTGCCCAGGGTCACATATAATAAGTGTCTGAGGCTAGATTTGAAC